CTCCGCCCCGAAGGGCTGCCCCGGCCCGGCCCGGCCGCCTCCCTCACGGGCCGCCCCTCTCGCCGCTGCCCGCCTTCGGAAGAGAACGAAAACGGAAGAGACGTGAGAGCGTAGTACCGACCGGTGAAGCGGCCTCCGGCCCGGGGGGAGGCAGAGGGAGCCTCCGCCACCCCTCGGGCCTGGCCTTCCCTCACGCTTCCTCAGGGTCTGGTGGTGGTCGGGGCGCCCCGGGCCCCGCCGGCGAGGGGGACCCTTCCCTCAGGTTCCCCCCGCTGGCCTTAGTTTTTCACAAAAGTGATGCTATGGTGAGCCAGACGTCCTGGCTCAAGGGAGGTCTAACGATCTCAAGAGATGAAAGCAGTATTTGATAAGATCCTAATCCTCAACTACTGTCATCCTGATAAATCTATCGAAATGCTAGTCAGAGGATGGGGTGCTGCAGTGTGGAGATTGCCTACATAACCTCAGCTCCTTCCCCCTTTGTGATACCTGCAGCCATACCTAAAACTGTAGGCATCTGACACGGTCACACGCTGTTTCTTAAACATGACAGGCTACTGAAAGTAAATTGCGTGTCTCGCTGCTCATAATATAAGAAATGCTTGTATGTGAAAAGCATGCAGTGAGAACTAGTACCTCTGGAAAGGAGAGAATGAAGTTAAGAACTGAGTAAATAAGAACGGAAGGTTTGGACCTAATGTAGTTAAAATTGAGGTGGTGAGGATAAAATGATTTCAAGAACTGAAATACATCGAAGTGGAGGGCTGCAGAAATAGAGTAAACAGAAGAGTGACCCCATGAGCACTCTCAGAACAGGAATTCCCAATTACATAAGTCTCTTCTAAGACAGCAGATAAATGCGAACAAGATTGACAATGTGAAGAGAGGCAGATCCTCAGGAATCAAAAGAAATAACAGCATTAAGGAGAAAATGCAACAAGAAGCTCAAAAAATTGCTAAAAGCAGAAAAGTTGGTGTAAAAGCCATAATTTACTTAACTTTAAATATAGCACCTAATGTAGAATTAATATGATTTTTCTGTCATTAGACCATGAAAGGTATTCTGGTTCCAGATAATTGTCTACATTTTTAAGTGCTACGGACCTTCTTCCTCTCCCTGCCCCCTCTGAAATGCATTCAAATGTTTTTCCCAGAGGGAAAAAAACATAATGAATTTAAATGCTAATGAATTAAAAAAAAAAAATAGACAATCTTCCAGGCTGATAAAGATTGATTTTTCTTGCGGGAAATCCACTGAATCTGACATCTCTTCACGAGACGACATCTTCAGTCTTGTACAGAACTGAACCAGCCGTTTAAATACTGCACAAAAAATAAATACTTCCTTCAAAATAGATAATTCTCCTCATTGATCTAAAATTGATGGATGTTTTTAATAGTCGGCCTAAACTTTCTTGGGTCCCAGGTTTTTACATGCAGAAATTGAAGATGCAAGGGATATAAAATGCATTTTTTTATATTAAGTTAATGACATCTAATTTCAGATGCTGATTTGACTCAGAACAAGGCCTCGATCAAGTCCTCAGAAACTTTTGATGCATTTCCAGAGAACTTCTGCACTAATTAACTTTTGGACCTTACCAATTAATCTGTAGTAAGAACGTTGGACAGGAAACTGAATTATGAACCATCTTCTCTAGATAAGTTCAAATTTGCATAAGACAAGTCTATGAAAGATAAGGAAGAAGTTTCATCAGAGAGTTTATTCTTGTCTAACTGACACTTTCCAAAACTGCCTCAGAATTATTTTTTTTTAGAGTCTAAGAACTCCCAGCCTTTTTTGTCTGGTAACACTTTCCTTGTAAAAGAAATATTTATGTGCTGATTTCAGTGAAGGAACAGGTGCATCAGCCGTTCTGCTTTTCCATCCAAGTAAAGCATGAAGGAACATCTCTAAGAAATTTGTACTGCTTTCTTCTGTAAAAAGCATACTGAGTTTTTTAGAACTGTAATGAAAAAGTTTCATCTAGAAATGTAGAACAACGACATCTTTTGGTGCATCTTTCTGATGAAAAAGTGAATTTGGCTGCTATATGTTTAATGGAGCACTGAAGAATGAAAAAGCATTATCTACAGTGTTTTGGGCAAGTAATTAGTAAAACTTGCTGTCCCTTTGAAAAATAGAAACATGAAGCTTTGCAATTTACGAGCACAATTGTCTCTACATGGCTAATAATAACAAGTAAACCTGGCATAAGCCCACGGATACAATACATAATATATTCTAGATCTGTAATCGGCATGTACATAAAAATGGTAATCAGATACAAAATATGCATTTCATTTAACACATAAAAAGAGGAATAAAACTGTTTCTCTATCCAGGAAACAAATGGAAATAAAGTAGGTATGTGTTTCAATCAGAAACATATTTCTCTGTGAAATATATTACGAAATACAACATAATACATAACTATTTCCAATATCTAAATTATCAGAGCTATAATTTTTACAAAGAACTAGAAATAGTTCCGTAATTGTCAGAGTTAAACTTTGCAAAAATTCAGTGTAAGCAAACAATATAAATGATAATTGAGGGCTTTTCC